CAGCTCTGGCAGCTAATGGCAGCATACCTAAACTGCTGTTACAGAATTGAAGGGAAGGGGAGGTTTCTATAGGTAAGCATATAAAAAATGACTAGATTTAATTCTGCAGTGAGCCTAGTGCAGATGGAAGTCTGTAGCTGTATGCAGGGATCTACCAGCACGGTACTCAATATGTGTGACTACAACACATGATGACTGCTGAATCTTGTGGTACTCAGATAAGAACAATGAGGGTCTAATTAGCAGTGGTGCATAGGCCCTTTTTCCTTTTTTTCCTGGCTTTTCAGTGCCCCCCCCTCGTCCCCGTCCCCCCCCCCAACCTTTTCAAAACTATCACTGTCAAAACACTTTGCATGGCCAGTAGGGTGGGTCCTGCCTTGTTGCTCTTGTGCTCAATTTTGCGAGGGATGTTTAAACAGAAGGAAGCATAAGAACAATAGAAGATCTCGGGGAAGTATGTGATAGTATGCAAGTAATAGCATTTACATAGGGCCTTTCATCTAGAAGGATCCCAAAGGAATTTATAAACAATATTACTTTATACAATTTATAAACAAATAAATTTGGTTTGCCTTATGACGCTAAAACCCCAAACAAACAAGAAATATCAGACAAAACAACTTTATACGATTTGTTTTTCTTGGTATAAACAATGCTCATGCAACAACAGTCTCACTCTATCCGTTATTTACTTTCTCTCCCCTTTCTACACTCCTCTGTCTCCTTGATCGGTCATCACATTGGGTTTTCTCCAGCCAGTTTAGATTGCATGATTCCTTAGGCAAGGAGCCTTGTGGCTTTGTCACTCTGAGGCCTCATGCATTCCTTTTAACTCTAGAAAAAAATATTTGATAGTTATAATTAATGTAGGCCACATAAGAAACTACTGAAATGCAACCACTTCTATGGTGGATTGTCTTGGCTAACTATCTAACATCTCATGGCAGTACTGGTTTAACAGCTTATAGAACTGAAAGCAGAGAATGCCGTGTATAAGTGACACAAACCAGTTATTATCAGTTGAGCTGAATTACCCATTCTGGAATTTAGTCAGGAAGATAGGTGCTTGAAAACCCTATTCGTTAGAAAATACTATGGTATTTTTTTTTAATCCTTCTCTGCCACTTTCCTCCCTTTTTCTTAAAATTCATCAAAAACTCTATACCCCTGGAAGTACAGTACTCTTTAGCAACATGATCAGCTTTGACTCTCAAGTCTGCGTATCTCCCATTGAGTACCATTTTCTGCAGCGTGTTTAGGTTACCTTTGGAAGCCTCCCTACCTTGTCTCAACCAGCCCTGACCCTGGCTCTCTTCTGAACTCTTAACTGGGATCTCAAACCCAATGTCACATGGCAGCGTGAAGTCCAAACAGGTGCAGTTTGATTCACAGCTTGGGATTAGAGACTAAATGAATCTATAGAAGGCAGATTTGATAATAGTACTAGTTTATACCCATATGTCGTATAAACACTAATCCAAAGGGGTAGCCTGAAATGAAATTGTCCAACACCAGTATGAAATCATCAGTGTCATGTGGGTATAAAGCATGGAACATCCATTAAAAGGAGGAGGAAATCCTGTTATACACATTAGGAGGAGAATCCTTGTTACTGATACCAAAGAGGGTTAGTGTGCATGTGCAGAGGGGAAATGAGAGAGAACCTGGGAAAGAAAAGCAGTAAACATTATGGGGAAAGAGGAGATTTTTATAGTATGGTCAAATAAAAAAGGATGGAAAAGAGCAACTTACTGAAGAGACTTTCATTGGAAACCAGAAACCAGGTCACAATGAAGGAGAAAAAAAGACAAAAAGTGATAAATATCATAACCAGAAATTTTTAAAGACTGTAAAATAGATGAAGATATGGAGTCCCTAGTGCATGTTATAGAAGAAGGAACATGCCAGTAGTGTCTTGAGATAGCCGAGTAGGGTCATTTTGAAGAAATACAATGACATTATGGTCAATTCTGCTCCCCCCCTGTTTTATTCTGTTGCACATTAGAAACATTTTAACAGTATATCAACTTGAATTGGATTTAGAAAGAATATGGGGTTGCATATACCCTTTCTCTGTGCATGGGTCCCAATTAATTCCCAACATGACATTTTGTTTTTTTAATAAAAGTATAAAAATATGTGGTAGTGTCTATGAAAATGCCAGTTCTTACAAAGGCCAGCATATGTTACATTCAAGTCTAAATAGAGGGACCAGTTTCAGTTGTTATGCCGTTAATTGCAATAGTCCTTATTCGTTTGGAAAAAAACTGGCATTTTAAAATGCTGGTCCTTCAAACTAGCTGTCTTTCTGGTCATCAGGAGCTAGATGCTCAAAGGGATCCATAAAGCTACTGACTGCTCATTGTAAAGTGAATGAGCAGTCTAGGAGCATAGACTAAACTTGGGATACCTCCATCCCAGCTGAGTGCCCTGATCTGCAGAGCCTTGCTCCCATGCTTTGGTCCAATGACTCTTTCAGTCTTTTCTTCAGAGTGGCATAGCAATAGGAGGATTGGAGTGTCTAGTAGCCACACTTCAAGATCCAGGATCTTGATTCAAATCTACATTTCCCATCTCTCATAAAGTGCCCTAATTATCAGGCTGCGGCCATAGCCTGACAGATTGGGCACTTCGAGAGAGATGGGAAATGTAGGTTTGAATCGAGATCCGGATAGTGCTTTAACTATCACCACTGCCTTCACCACCACAGCTTTGTATCCGCTGAGCTTTGTAAGGCCTGCCACTGTGTAATAAGTGTGCCGAGCGCACATCTAACACAGTTGATCTCTCAGGCAGAGGAGCATCTAATTTGGAGGATCATGAAAGGACTTAGTTGCAGTATGGATCCCATAATGGCAACCCTTATTTTGAGGATAGCAATTCAAGAGTTATTTGTATATTGAAAAGCCTCTAAATCAGTTTTCAGTAAGTTTTCACCTTTACACAAGGGGGTAAAATTCCCTATTTTGATTAAGTGTTGCCAAGGACTTGCATGATTTGCTGTCCTTTTTGAAAGACTTTCCCTTGGTGATCTTCTCTCGGATGACCGCTCCATACTGTCATTGGAACCTGGAAATTACTGTCTTCTGGACAGTCAGTTTTGCTTTCGCGTGATGTTAATTTTCATTGTACATGGTAAAATTACTGCTGTTGCTGCTTAGAATGGGGTTTTCTTCACTTGTTTTGAAGTTTAGCAGAAGTCAAAGTTAATCTTTAAGAGAGTTATGTTTGTAATGATTGGATATCAAGGCCTGATGGGTCATGCTGGCTGTCTCTTCATTTGCTGAGTGGATGGTGGATGAAGTTCTGCTGACTCCAGCTGTTTTTTCGTTTGAGGTGGTAGAGGGGGATGATAGCAGAAAAACAGGTTGCTTTTTGTCCCATAAAATATACCCTTTGTGTATCCTTCGTGCTACAGTAAGACTCCAAGCCAACTGGAGTCACAAAGGGGGTGGGGAAGTTGCTGCTTTTTTTTTTTTTAACCGTTTTTCTTAATTGAGAAAAGCTTAAGAGCGAGTTGCATGTCTGACCTGTATAGAGTTCATGGTTGGAATTTATTTGATTTGCGAGTAGTTCTGTGTCAAGTTGACCGAATCCAATTCATGTAATTAATTACCTTGAAAGTGATGATACATATAACAAAAACGGCCACTGTTGCAGCTGTAGCATTTCAGAGATAATGCTAGACATTATGTATAGACTGTTTGTTGATCTATGGAAAAAGGCATTTTACAGTTCTAAATGGACTTTGGCTCATTCAAATGATCAATAACCACTTTCTTTTTCAAAAAGGTGTTTAGTTATATATAAAGAAGTGGATTAATTGCAATTTTTCAAGTGTGGTACATTTGTTTTGGCTGATACGACCGGTTGTGCTCCTATTTCTTCCTTTTGCTGCTAGATACTTGTATGAGAGAGACTGAATTTTCCATGTCAGGGTGGCCCAGGGGTTGACCTGTAGCCTCCGAGGCTCTCGGCCTTGGCACCTGCCCCCACACACACACCCATTGGTCCTGATGCTGCTGCCTGGGTCTCCCTCTCCCTCTTCAAGCCCCCACCTCTGAGAGTAAATTTTAGTTTGCAATGAACTGGCGTTGTGGTGATATGCTCAAATTGGTGAAAATGATCCTGAAAAATCTACTTGGTATTTAATTTGGCATGACAACCTGCTTAAAAGAGGCTTAGTTCTGGAATAGAAGAGGGCTGACAAACCAGAAATAAAGCGCCTTGATTGACGCTATGCATGGAAGTGTATACAATACCTATCGTGCACTGTTTACCGTCGTAGGCAGGGTTATTTAAGGCCCTCACGTTTGAGCTGGCCTTGACAATCTGGATGGTCCGTCCCAGTGATGCTGTGGAACGGCACACAGGATGAAACCCTGGGTCATGGAAGTCGCTGGGAATTTTGCCATTGATTTCAAATGGGCCAGTATTTCATTCACAGTGTATAAAGTTAAGTGTGTGCATAAATCTTTGTCAGATGAGGGGTCTCTACGCATAAACAAATTGGAAAAAAAGATTTTGAGTTCATTGCATCTGTCGACAAGCAACAGGCATTCTGTGAAGTTAAATTTATTGTAATGTAAATATCTAGAACTAATTTTGTCAAAATATGGAGAAAAACCTACTTTTCCAAATGCTAAAAAAAACCCACCCCAAACTCCCAACAACTTCAGCTAACAGCTATTATTGCACAAAATTTTGACTGAAAGGGTTTTTAAAGTTGTGAAATCTCCGCTTCCCTAGCATTCCAGGTGACATTAAAATAAGAAACCCAAGCATAAGGAAAAATTAGCATTTACACTTAATTAACTGTTAATAAAATAGCTCATGTAGCCACAATCTTATCTTTAACTACAAAAATGTAAGCATTTGCTGAGTGATATGAGCAACTGAAAGCTCTTTGTTTAGACTTTTTGTTTTCTTGGCAATAGCTAAAATTCTTTGTAAGAAGTCATTAAGATATTTCTCAATGCTGCCTTTTTGAAAATTTTCAGGCTGCTATCCTTGTCCAGGGCCAAATATGAATCCCATTGCTCTTGGAAGCCGTTGGCTTGCTTATGCAGAAAATAAGGTAAGGAAGTGGTTAAATCTGTATGTTTCCCGTAAGACAGAAACTAGAATGAATTTCATAAAATCTCAGGCACAAGCATGAAAAATATTACAGTTTATTTCAAAAAGCAGTTTGATAATGAAGGTAGGTGTAAATATAGATTTTTTTTTTATTTTTTTTTTTTACCATCTGTTTTTGTCTGCAATTAGATTGCAACTTTGCTCTACCTGTTACAGTTTTCTGCGTTTGCAGAGCCTAGGCATCAAAGAAAATAGCAGGGGCAGAAAAAAGGTTTCATGTTTGCATGATGTGGGTTACTCAGCAATTAACACTTCTCAAAAATAATTTGGACTCTTCATTTCAACCCCGGTGAGACCTGGTACCCGTTTGCCAAGTAGGGGAAACTGAGTCACAGAGTGGTCAAAGGGCTTGTCCAAGACCACACAGCCAGTCAGTGGGCAGAGTCAGGAGAACTCAAAAATTCCTAGCTCCCTGCTTCCAAGCTCAATCTATCAGACCACAGCTGTCTCCAAACACTGAAATAGAGAATTAGTTTTGATTTGTAATTTATTTTTAAAAAAAGAAACAGAGAAGCATTAGGTGGCGGTGAAAGTGTGATCAGCACTTGTTTTACCAAATCTTATTCTGCTGCCTAGTTTCTGATTTAAAATGAGACTCGTTTGAGAACTTTGCCCCCAGTCACCAGTGCATGGTTTGCGTTTTAAAGTAGCCTGACTCTGCGCGGTTAAACCCCACGACAAAAATAGCTGTTGGTAGAGCTGAGCCAAAGACGTGGAGAGAAGCAGCTTTAATGCATTTGCCTGCTGCTACACCTTTTCAAGTGCAGCTGATCTGTGTCCGAATTCAGGCCTGCTTTGTGTTGCGATGCCAAGTTCAGGGGTCAGCTGCGTAGCAGCCGGACTTGCAGATTAGCCTGTGAACTTCATGAGTACTGCTGCTACTGGAAATGCAAATAGCACTTTTGTGTCTGAAAGTAACTTCTTCCACTTGTGATTCCCATACTGGCCTTTTTTTTCCCCTCTCTAACTATTTTAGCCCTTTTAATAAAATCAGGAAGGGAGCATATGCTGGAGTGCATATTTATTTTTAGGGGGGGGTCCTTTTTTTTTCAGTAAAAATGAGGGAATGCAGCAGCTAGAGTTTTGACATGTATGCAGCAGTAATAAATATCAGCAACTCGTTTACTGATTTATTTAGATAGGAGAGGAGCTTTTTATTATTCGTTTCCACGTTCTGCCTCTTTTCCTGGTTGATAGTGGGTATAGGCATCCTGTTTTCTGGAGGGGCAGAGATTAATAGTAAAAGAGCAGGGTAGAAGCCCTGCAACTCCAGTATCCAAGCTGTTAACATACTGAAGCTTGAAAACGCTCGAAGAATTAGAAATGTGAATGTAGCTAACTTTTGCTTTTGTCATTTTTCTGCTTGCTAGAGTCTTTAAAAAAAAAAAAAAAAAAGGAAAAAAAGAAATAAGCCACATCCAAATTCTTAGCATGTCAAATATTTAATGTTACATAGACATGGCTAAAGCCTTTGATTATATTTATTTAAATTTATTTGTGGTAACGCTGCCAGACCAAAAATCCCACCATTTCAAAGTTTATGAATTCTTAGTGACTACTCATCTTGTAATTGAAAACCAAAGTTGAGCATGCGACAGTCTGGGTGGCACCCAGAAGATTATAAAAAGGGGTTAAGTGTCTCAGCAGGGCTTTTTGCTATTTGTATGAAAAAAACCACACTACTATACATGATAAATAAGAGCTATGCTAATGGGTTATGGGGTTTTATAGTTTAATAGTAGTGATTTGCTGGCTGTCTTTCTTCTTGCAGCTGATCCGATGCCATCAGTCCCGTGGTGGAGCCTGTGGAGACAACATTCAGTCTTACACTGCCACAGTCATTAGTGCTGCCAAAGTGAGTACATCATCAACTGCTGGGAGAGGTTATCATGTGCAGTGATTATCAGGTTTTCCTACTGAACGCCACTGGGATTTATTTCCCCCCCCTTCTCATTCACAAAAGGAAAAAAGGGAAAAAAAACCAACGCTTTAATTAGGTACGCGAGTTGTTGGGTTTTTTTAATAGGGTCAATACCAACTATGATATCTTGCAACTTTCCCTCCAGCCATTGACTTCAGCAGGGGTTTCCAGTGTCAAGCACTTTTCAGCAAGTACTCAGCACTTTTTCAGGATTGCGGACCTTTAGCTTGCAATCCTGCTAGCAGCCCTCTTCACACAGAGCAGTCTTGGTGAAATCAAGTCAAATGCAACCAGCTGCAGAAGATTGATTCACAGGACTCCAGGGGTGCAGGATCAGGCCTCAGCTCTTTCAGTGATTGGTCTCGTAGCCTAATAATGCTAATTTTATGAATACAGTAGTGCTTAGCACATTATGGAGACATTGACACCAGTACTGTGTTTTTACTGCGTTTTCAAAGATAATAAAATACTCCTGGAGAAAATTACTTAACCTAGTTATTACAACCTTCTTCAAAGTCTTCAAATCTTACTAATAATGTTTACATTCAGATACCATTGCCTCTGGTTTGCTTAGTCTTAACAGCGTTATAATATTCCCCTGTGTTTTTGTGGAAGTGTCTGAGTTTTCATAGTGTGAGAGGAAGACTGTGGCTTGGAAAAATCTTAAGCTAGCCAAAAGACTGTGGAATTGTTTCTTTCTTCTTTTCTTTCCCCCTAGAGGTCTTGCCTACAGCATTTGTGTAAGTAATTTCTTTTTCTCACACACACACACACACACACCCACACACACACACACACACACACACACACACTCACACACACACACACACACACACACACACACTCACACACACACACACACACACACACACACACTCACACACACACACACACACACACACACACACTCACACACACACACACACACACACACACACACTCACACACACACACACACACACACACACACACTCACACACACACACACACACACACACACACACTCACACACACACACACACACACACACACACACTCACACACACACACACACACACACACACACACTCACACACACACACACACACACACACACACACTCACACACACACACACACACACACACACACACACGTAAATTTTGGTGTTGGCTGGCAAACTTCATGCTGATTACAAGCTTTTGGTACAACCACTAGTCTTTTGATTTGTGAAATACAGAACAAAACATTTCTAATAATAGGCATTGCAAAGAGACTTGAAATGACAGCATGGAATAGAAAGTACAACTACACTGAACAAAACAACAGTTTCAGGAACCCACAAAGAGAAGCAAAGGTCACGCTATTTCATATAAAAACAAATAAGGTATAAAAATGAATGTGTTCCTTCAGGATGGCTTTTGGACCTCATCTTGCTGTGGTTGGAGGGAGAGAAAAATCACAGGTTTTTATGTTGCTGAGAGAAAAGGGATCTCCGTCTTTCTGAAGATACTAGCATGAATCCATTCACTTCTTTGGTACCTAAGCACAATCCTTTTCCACCCTGCTCAAGTCCATGAAAAAATATTAGTGTGTCAGCTTATTGTAGCCTGCTTTTATTGCAAAAAGCAGGAGCGAGACTCACCCACCTTTCACAGTAGTGTTTTCTCAGGGAGCTGAACAGGATGAAATAGGATTATACTTAAGCACCCAAATAATACAACTTAGGCACTTAAATATATTTGGCCCTAGCATACTATTTGCCATGCTGGCCGTGTCTACTCAAGCAGCCGACTGCACAGTTGTTATTGCGCAGTCATCTAGTACTTGCTTAACCAAGTACTAAATGACTGCGCAGTAACCAGTGTTACTGCGCAGTCCCATCATCGCACGGTTATTTTTAGATGCTACTGTGCAGTGGCTCGTTACTACCGCGCAGTAGTGTCACCATCACGGTTCATGCCCAGTGACTCTACAGCGCCATAGCAATGAGCTATGGTGCAGCAGCTTGTTGATACTGCATGGTAACTTCTTGTGCAGATGCTCCTGCTATGTTGTATCCATAATGGCCATTTTGAGTTCCTCCACCATCAATGAAAAATAGAACCAGTGCTTTCCATCTAAACATGTAACATCTTTTTGTTTTTGTTTCTGTTTTTAATTCTAATGGATTTGGAAAATAACCAGCTCAGTGTGATATTTCATGGCGGTAGTCAGCTAAGCTGATTTTTTTTTTTTTTTTTT